TATACACATCTTACAACTTCCATATTGGTAGGGAATAATACCACTGCTAGACCTCAGAGGTTTTGGGGTTTTTTTGAGAAATTAATCTGCAATTATATGCAAACACCTACTGTACTCAAACCAAAAAGGTAAAAATAGGAAGCAAAATTATTTAGAGTTTGTTTACTAACAAACAAAAGAAAGCAAACCCCACTATCTGTCCCTAGGCTTGCAATTAAAGAGCAATATGTAATGCAACACCCATGTGTAAAATTGTCCACGAAGGAATGCTGCAGCCCTGAGTAGTAACTGCTAGTGGCAAGTACTAATTTAACATTAGCACCATGCCCTGAATTTTTTTTCCCTTTACCTTAACTACCGTGATTTATCCCTTCTTTATTATTCCTGCCACTTTCTGATGCCTGAACTGGCTTTTCTGGGGGTGGTTATTTGTCTGTGACTGAGAAGAGCTGCTCCTTCTTCCGGTGAGATGAATTGCCTAGGTCTTTCCTTCTCCTTACTAACCCCCACACCAACGCTCCTTTACTGAGTTGCATCAGCTTTCCCTCCTTTTCACGAAATGTATGAAACTACTGCTAGAAGCTGAGAGAAATTTTATTGCTACATGAGAAACACTTCCAGCAATCTCACAACAAAGCTATTGTAAATGCCTCATGGCATAAAAGCAATTATTGTAAATTATCAAAGAGTTGTATTGCTGAAAATTTTCTGCCTAACTATAATAAACTCTTAAACTAAAGAAGAAAATAAATCCAACCCCATAAAACACTGCTTGGTTATAAAGAAATTGGTAATACAGGCTTTTATATACAGAAAAAGGTAGCTGCATTAAGGAAGTCATTCAAGTAGAAATATATGCAATCCATGTAAGTTAAGACAAGCTCATTCACTGAGCCAATCTCAAGACTCCCGAGCATGTAGTTTTCTTTCAAAATCTCTTCTGATCACTTGGTAGAAATACTTCTTTTTTTATAAAAGAATCTATTTTAAACAAATGTATCAAAAGGGGCAGGTATTAAATATGGGAAGAAGTCAGTTTTGCTATTGTAACAACTCACAATTACAGTATTCACACTAAATGTATATAAAACAACTTACTCTAACCACTGAAATGCACAAGTGATACAATTGTGATACAGTTGACACAACAACTGTAGATTTCACACAATCACAGAATGTATGCAATGCATTTTTCTACAACGTTAAACTTGACTACATTTTAATATCTTGGTCACTAATTTCTTCTTACAGTAGTTTAGAAGTTATCTGTCCACCAGTGAGATGAATAAAGGACTGAAATCCTGCAACAAAATTTGTGCTAGATACAGATTAGGAACCTTTACCCTGTGAACAACACATTCCAGTTTGAGAACTCTGTACAAGAAGAACACGTATCAAAAACAATTCAGAAAAGAAAATTACAAAAAACAGCTATAGGTTTGCACAAAGTTTGGAACACTTTTATTGTTTCTCAGACAAAGAAAAATAGAAAAACAAAGAACTAAAAATCTACTAAATACAGAGCAGTATAACCTGATAGCTCAGAGAAAAATTTAGGCTACCAGAAGGAGTATTCTAGGAATGAAAAAAAAATGCAGGCAAGGGTATGAAACAAGATTTTTTTTTCCTGCCCAAGAGAAATACATTTGGATGTTGGACTGATTCTTACAGGATGGGATAACTGAACACAAGTGCCACTAAATCAGTCAAGGTATTTATGGATGCAGCACTAAAGACAGGTCATAGGTCAATCTTTAACAGTCAGTGATGAAAGTGTACCTGTTCTAGCTCTCTTACTATTGTTTATAATACAATGGTTTTTAATCTGCACAAAACCAAAACTCCTAAGCAGGATCAGTAAATAACTAAAGTAAAATAAAATAAATAACTAAAGTAAAGAAGCAGCACAGATTCATCCTAAGCCAAGTGCCAGATATCCAACAGCAGTAGCTTAGATATAAAAGGCAGAACTTCTTAAAGCCTGGGGCTGGGAGAAGGAGGGGAAGAAACCTAGTTAGGAAATAAATTATCTCATTTCAAAGTATTACACATTATTAAAATATGGAGAAGCTAAAGCTACCTTAAAGGAAAGAGACTGGGTTCCAGGAATTCTTCCAGTTGCTGAAGTCCTAACTGATTGATTCTATTTTGTTAAACTGAAAAGGTGTGTTTGTTAGTTAATATTCAGAAGGACCCAAGCTAGAAATATTTTGTTGGTAAATCTAATTCTACAAAGAAAACACGGTGTCATACATCAACAACTGGATTTTTATAGCTGTCTTGTTATTAGGTCCTGCTGTTTTTTCTCCCTTTCCCTTCTACTTTCTCTTTCCCAAATAGCCAATAAGGTAGCACAGCATTCATGTGTGATTAAGCCAAATGTGATTAGGGTATCTCTTCCCCTCATTTCTACCTGTTACAGAAATGTATTTCCCTCCTCTTCCTAGAAAAATTGTAAGTTTCAAACTCATAGATGTAATAGTGGAAAGAGCTTTTAGGGTTTGAGTTACAGCTAACTGACCTGTTTGCTGGAATTCCTGATTTGAATAAGGCAGGCGGAGATGTGAAATCAGGTTTGGTCGACTGTACTGCCAACTCTTTCTCCAAATTTCCAGTTCTGCCCTGCTGTACCTTCAAAATAATGTTTCATGATTAGTTTTACCCTCAGAAATGTAGTAGCTCCAATATTGAACACAGAACATAGCCAACACAAAAAAACCATCCAACTTTACTCAGAATTTTAAAGTCACCTCTACACAGCTAGCAAAATTACGTATTTTCTAAGGTTATATTACTTAAGTACTGTGTTTAATATATATAAGAAGCAATATGCCAGGGAATGAATTATTATAGAAGATTAGACAGTTTAAATATTTACTTTCCAAGCATTTGATTTGTACATGAACAGACCAAACCAATTTTCTTCTATAATTTCCTGCACGAACAAAATAACACCTTTATTTTTAAAAGGAACAAACAATTTTAATAAAGATCTTCATAATCTTAACAGAGATACCTAACAAGCCTGCTACCCAAAAACAAACAGTGAGACAAGAAACTTGAATGGATTCTCCGTCTGCCTCACTGACCATGTGACCTAGTAACCACTTAATTTCCAAGTCATACCAGGAAGTCACCTCATACTTGGGGTTACACAAACTGTAAAAGATTTTTTATTAACTCAGACTGAATACTTCAAAAACATCCTACTGTTTCTGAAGTACTGAAAAATTCCACCAACACTTTACTAAAACTGTACAAGACCTTTGGTGCAAGTGCTTCAAGTATTGTTTTACTTCAGCAGCAGTTACACATGAAAGAAAAACCTACATGGGTTAGCACCAAAGATAACTTTGTACTGATTCTGTCTTTAAAGTCACTCTCACTGTACCAACCATGGAGCTACATCACTCTTCATAGCTAGTTCACTCATGCTATAACATCAGATGAGCCGTGACCTCACAGCTTCTCGTAGGCAAGTGAACTACTAGTTTTCTGCAGAATCCCACTTCTAAACATGATCATGTCTTCCTCAGACTCACAAAAATGAACACAAATAGTTAAGAGTCAATAGAAATCTAATTAATCTTTTATATCCAGAAATATGAGAAGGGAAAAGGTACTGAATAGGTTTGGTATAGGTTTGATATAAGTACTTATCTGAAAAATCTGTAAGACTTCTATTAATTAATGAGTAAATGGAAAACCCAGGAGACAGTCTTGCCAGTTACAGGAGATTAATCCAAATATATCATGTAAATTACATGAGACTTAGTATTCCAGAAGATAGGAAAAAAAATTAACAATTATATGTAAACTCCTTGTAAATCACACGACAAACTCCTATAACACAATTACTTACTATCTGTACTGTTTGATCACCACAGTCAAGACTGAGCTAGAAATATGCAAAGTTTTAGTTTGGACTACTTATTCTTCTTCCTTCAGGACAAGAATTTAGAGAAGTTTGAGAGTGTAGTCAGGTGCAAATTTTAACTCCTATTGCCCACTACTTCTAATGTCCCACAGCACCATATTAATGATAACTGAGGACAGCAAAAAGCCCCAGAGAGCTTCTGATCTGATAAAATCAAAATAACTGAATACCCTCAAGTAGCATATGAGGGAAAATAAAAATACCTGTCTACAATTGACACTTCTATCACAGGAGTACACAGAATAAAGCAACAAACAGTTCCAAGTAATTTTAAAGACAGTTCAAGAACAAAAATTACTGCATATTGAAAATAAGCAAAATAAATATCTTTTGGGTTTTAATTTCAATTTTAGTATCAAACCAATGAGTAAACGAGAAAATGAGAAGTTGGAAAAAAAGTTTAATCCTTAGGATAAATCCTATCATATAGATTCCTCTGCTCTCTGAAAATCAACATTTCTGAAAGGAAAAATTATTATATATAACTTGATTTATTGCCTTCTAATCCCAAACGGAAAACATGGAAAAATATGGAAGGTTGATTTTCACATCTCAGACTTGTCAAGATAACTGTTACAAAACACAGCAAGAGCTAAAACAACACAGTAAGAGCTAAAACACCACAGGAAAAATAAACATGCCATTATCTACAAAAGCTTCCCGAGCACATCTGCACAAGCAAATGCGCTACACCTAGAAATAAATCATCACATAAAGAAAAATTAGTTTCACGGGGAAATTCGTTAGTTTACCAGGCCACTAACTCACATGCTTCCAGAATAGTGACGAACAAAGCAACGCTTTTTAATCCGCATTTTGTGACATACACAGAAAGTCACTGATGTAAGATGAAGAGTATGAAATAATGGCTGTGTCCATTTCAGCTGTTCTTCTATCAGTCTGTGGTGGCGTGGGAAGCAATACTCAAGAAAAATGAGAGCAACCAACAAAAGTTTACTAAAATTCACCTTAAAAAGATGGTATCTGCCATCGAGAATCTCTGCACTTGGTCTTACTTCCATAGCTTTGTCTTCAGCCTAAGTTAAATAACACAGTGCCCATTAAGATACCATATAACTCTTAAGTGATGGGCCACAATCTCAATAAAGGTACAGATGCAATCTAGCTGTAGTTGTCTGTCACACTATCCACACAACTGCCACTGAAGCAACACACTAATGCTCAAGGTTCAGGGTGGGGAGTCAGGTGCAAACTCTAACAAACACACTGAACGGGGCAGAACAAGCTTACAACACACAGGCAGCTTTGCAGGGAAAAAACCCACTTACAATACCAAAAAAGTACTATTTACCGTAATTTTATTTGTGGTTGAGGTAACTGGTAAAATTTCAAGACCCATTCGTATTCTCTTTTGTTTTTCACAGTAAGCTTTCCAAGTATCTTCATTGAAACCATAGTTAAAATAATCAGAGAGATCAGCCCCTTTAAATAGAAAAGGACAGGTTTTTAAAACATTACAAAGTTCATCTTTTCTTCACTGAACACACATGCAGCACTATTGATAACAGCAAAACTGATTAGGTACTGACCTAAAAACAAGACTGAAAGGTACAATACATCAGTAAACATAAGAGTATTCATGGCTATGATTATAAGAACAATAAAATTTAGTCAGAAAGAATATCTTGCTTAGCACCATGAATTAGGGATCAAAAGTAAATACTTAGAAAATATCCTAGGATAATTCCCCATATCTTTACAACACAATAAATGTAAGATCTACAGTTTTGCTGTATGTTAAGATCCACTCCCTTTTGCTATGGTTCCTAGTTTCATTTGATGCCATGAAGCATTTTTATAGTAAGAGAGAGATCAAATGTAAGTCAAATTCTCAGAATATATTTCATATAGCTAAAAGTTCAAACAACAGATTATCATCACAGGCTATTTTTCCCCATTTTGTAGACACTATTTGCACTACCAAAGCCACATACAAACACTGGAAAAAAACATACGCAGTGGTAAGATGTACTTCTACTAAAAACATCAGTCAATGCTGGTATTATTAGCCAAGTCTGGACAAATCACTTGAGCCAATGAGATAATACGCGGAGAAGACTTCTAAAAAGCCCATGTGGAAAGCCCCAGTTTCTTCTTCAAGGCTTATGAATGTCTTTTCATGAATACAATGCAGCACAAACAGCTACGTTTCACCATTCTTCCTGCTCAAACCTGCTAGAACTGTTTTCCATTCTGCTTTACCTTCTGTGCCCTGGCACAGACCAGTGGCAGTAATCTCCACAGAAACACAGATTTCCAAGGAGAGTTCAGGATGTATCAAAAAAAAAAAAAAAAAAAGCACTTCCTATCGTCTTTTTCCTAACATGTGACTAGGATGGGTACTAAGAAACACGGCACACCCACACTCTCTGGCAGAGCAGGAAGGCAACAAGTAACTTAGTTGCTTCTTGCGAGTTAGACTGCACAATACTTTCTAGGGATAGGGCAGGTGACACCTACATGCAGTCAACAGGATTACTATTAAAATAACCTACTGAACACCTACATATGAGTTAACATAAACCACACATTACCTGGTTTCCTCCAAGGTTTATCTTCAAAAGAATCTAAGTCTACTTCCAGAAGCGGCACACCATTAATGCTCCCTGGCGCATCTAAATCCAGTCCTTTAACTTTTGTACCTGTAAAGAAAAGTTACCGAGTTAGAGCCTTTTGTCTCTACTAACCAGAATTTTAACAGTTGAAATACGCTTCAGAAATAATAACAGAAAGCAAAAGTCAAATTTATGAAGAAGTTTTGGAAGTTAAAATTATTTCCTTAATCCAAAACAACCCAACTTTGGGGGTTTTTTTGCATTTTTATTAATATTACTGTGTAAATTTTCTTACCAGAAGATCCATAAGCTCGTCCTCCTGCCTTAATATTGAGATTCACAGGTGCCGCTCCATAACTTCAGGAAATTAACAAAAAATGAATTAGATAAAGGAAACTTTCAAACCAGAAGAAAACAAAAAACAAGAGATAGCTAGATACACAAACAAATTGGACCCAGGCTCAATCACCATCCTGAATCTCTAGCTTTCCAAGCTGGCAACACTGTAAAAGTAAAGAGATCAGCCTAGGAGGAAGAGAGAGTACCTTTCTATGCTCAGTAGCAACTTCTCCAACTAATAAACAGTTGTGAATCAAGTCCCAGTCACTCCTCCTGAGTTGAAAGGATAAAGACCTTGATAGAAACAAGAATGGACAGAACCAGAAGAAGAGAGAGAGAGGAAAAAAGGAGTTCATTTGAGGGTACAGATGATAGTCTGGGGATTAGAGTAAAAACAAAATAAATAAAAAAAGAAAGGGTTCAGATGGATCATTTTCTCTCTTCATAATAATTTCATTTAATCTGTACGGAAGTGGAAAATACAAGCATCTCTCTAAAATGATTGAAATGCTGCCTGTTTTAAAGTTCTTGTAGCAATCACCTATCCCTGTGACCAACAGAAAAGTATGTAACTTTTCACTCTCTAAAATACTTGAGAGTTTTCTTCATAAAAATACACTCAGAAATCTAAATACTGAACAGATTTAACTAGGGTAGGAATTACAGTATTGTTAATTTGTAACACTAAGAGCTAGCTTTCACTACCGTTTGTGTGCAATGCATCTTATCCTCATAGATGACCCTTAAACATAATGAGATGAGAATATAATTAGAGGGCAAGCGTATCCACTTCCATGCAGTTTTAGTTTTCATTCGAGTGTTACAACAGCATAAAACTGATACAAAACATATAACTTTCTGAAATGCTATGCTGTATTTGTGCGTGACTTTCAAACAAATCCAATGGGATTTTTTAAAACAGCAGTGGACTGCTGTAGGAAAAATGATTTAATCCTACAAAAGAAACTTGTCTACTGGAGTTACAATTACCAGCAATGCTCAGTTTGTTTTAGATCACTCCCTTCCATGAACTTTCTGTCCAATTTGCCCAGAAAAAAAAAGGTTTTTCAGAAAACAAGCATTTCTATATAAAATTTTCTACTCCAATTAAATTTAGGATCATCTGTTCATTATTTTCTGTATTCATGGAAAGAGCACCAGCAAATCCATGGAGAATACAAATCTAATTTTGCTTTAGTCTCATAAAACTTGAAGTCACTGCCTACATCAAGGGAATACTGCAAGTTACTGAGAGTGAAAAAATAAAGAACTGAAAGAATAGCTATTTTTTTAAATATTGCATTGATTTGCACAGTAATTTAGGATATGAAATACTGAAAGTTTAAAAATATTATTTCAAATGGGAGTAAATCACCTTCATTCTAAAGTTAAGAACACAATGATATATATGAGTCAGACCTACCTGCAGACCTGTCATATTTCTATTAAGAAACAGCACCCTAGTAACTCTGGTTTTAATAAGCATAAAAATATTAAGATTGCCAAGAAAAACAAGTAAACCACTTTTCTCAGAAAGTTTCCATGCAATGAAAAATACTATCTCATAATTCTGGGTAAAAGTAACACTGTTGAAAAGCAAGCTCTTTCTCAAAAGCAGAAGAAATATGGGGCAACAGAAGCAGCAAAAAAATTCTCTTATGGTACAAATGCCTAAACCATGATCTTGAGAAATAATCTCCAGGGACTGGCAGCTCCATCCTGAACTGCACTAAAATACTATTTGAAGACATCAATAGGAATTGAAACTACAGAGGTCTAATTAGAACTGTATCCACTACAAACAGGATGAGGGACATACGTCTCATGTCCTTGCCATCCTACCCTTTGCAACAAATATGTCACTATGAGAGTAAGAACCCCAAAAATGCTACATAACACAGCCATTCCAAAATAAAAAACTCTCTTCTTTACAAACTGTACAAACAACACAATTATTTCTCAAAATCTGAAAACAACTCATACAACAGGTCTTCCTTGTACTTCACTGATTTCATTTCACTTTGTTTTCAAGTCACTTTATCACTAAAAACATTGTTAAAGAGCTGAAAAAACTCCTAATTGCCACTTACTGCACATACAATTCGACATTGACAAATATTAAAGAGACTGAGTTAAAAATTAAATACAATCTTAAAAGTGTTTGCAAATAACTTACCTAAACTGTGGAGCTCCTGTTTTAATATCTCCTATGGTGACTTGAACATCATCTTCATCGTCATCACTATCACTATCACTGTCATCCTCAGCCTCTGCCACTTTCTATGAAAGAAAAAGTCATTGCTTAGACAAAAAGCAGTCACTTACCTTTAAAGTGGAAAAATAATCCAGACAAAATTATCTGCTCTAGAAATCTTTGAAAGAAGAAAATTCTCCTCTTTCTAGTCCTTAGAAATGAGTAGCATTAACAGTAAATTTAGGAGGTTACAAGTATCTGAAACGTGGCGTTTCCTAAATAAGGATAAAATAGTTTCCACTATCTAATATCCTTCTTCCCTAGCTCATACACACTGGTTCCACTCTTACCTTGTCATTCAGTAAAGAACTTAGAGATAAGCAAGACTAGCTTCATGCCATCATCAATTATATATCCAGAGTAACTCAAATACATGTTTTTCCAGGTGATTATGAACACTGCACTTCAGAGAAATCTATAAATTCCTAACATCAGTAAACTAGATAAAATACTTCAGATTTTTCAGCAAACAGGCTGAAAAATCAGATACAAGAGCATGCCTTGTGCTGTTCTGTCCCATAGTCTTCAAGCTTGCTGGTAGACAAAACAGACATGCCAGTTCATACCAAGAGTTCACCTAGTCGAGTATTCTGGGTTTGTTAGGTGTTTTGTTTTGGTTTCCCCTTAGAGAGACCATAGAGGAGAGAAAAAATACGTATGTTCCTCCCTAACTCATTCAGCTGCTGATTATTATTAGCTCGGGGCATCTCCTAAGCCAGTTATGGTTTGTTTTTTTCAGTAACCCCCAATGGATTTTTCTCTCAAGTACTTGTCCAGACTTCCCTCAGACTCATAAAAGCTCCCAGCAGTGATACTCTTTAGCAAGGAGTTCCATAGCACCGTCTACTGCATAAAGATCCGACATTTTTATTTGTTTTCAGCCTGACTCCTATAACCTTTATTTAGCAGTCACAGTCCTCATATGGAAGACACTGTGAGGAGTCAATCCTTATTTATAGTCTCCATACATGATTTTGTCAGCATCCACCATATCCTGTGTATGTCTTTCTTCCCAGCTGAGAAGTCCTTGGCTACTCAGTCATTCCTGGTATGAAAACTACCTCAATTACTCTTGCTGCTCTTCTTCTCTCAACTTTCCCAGTTGTTGTAGTCTTTATGACAGGAGGAGAAAGAACAGCAGTCAGAATTCAAGGTGCAACTAAACCACGAATTTATGGCATAATGATATCTTCCATTTTGTTCTATATTCACTTTCTGCTGTATCACATGGTTTAAGGGCTTTTTAGACTCCAAACTAGCACTTAACCATCAACTTTGTGAGTCTTGCTACATATATTAATGCGTCCCTCCTAAGTGGTAATGATTAACTCAGAGACCACCATTTTATTTGTAAACCTGTTTTTTCCTCAGTGAACATCACTCTTTCTATTCAGAATTCAATAGCCATGTATTATCCAGTCAGTCTTTGCTCTTAGTAGCTTGATTAATTTTGTAACTTCAGAAAACTTGTGATTTCACAACTTAGCCCTTTTCCAAGTAAACACATTAAACAGCACAGGTTATGCACAACATTCCAGATAATCCCCACTGGAGGTGACCTTCCTTCACTATGAAAACTGAACCTTGACTTCTACTCCGTGTTTTCTATCTTTTACACATTAATTATCCATCTGAGACTCATTCTATAACTGCACAGTTTTCTTAACATCCTTTGGTGAGGAACTTCTTCAGAAACATCGTGGAATCCAAGTGAACTTTATCGACCAAATCACGCTTATTCATGTACTGGAATCCTTCAGCAAGAGGATGAACACACCAAAGCCAAGTTGATTCTGCCCAGGCGGCCTGCAGTTACCCACACACAGCTGAGTTCTAGCCCTTATCTATTATACTATTAACTTGCCTGGTACATAAATTAGACAAAAATAAGCAGCTGCTTAGAAGATAAGATGTTGGAGTGCAGTTCATCCTTGCTGCACAACATTAATATAATTTACAAAACAATGAAGAGTCTAGTCATGGCGCGGGGGGCAGATAGGTATCCTGTAAATGACAGTTGAAGACAGAAGACAGTCTTTCAGTGCATCTTTCAGCCATATGGCTGAAAAGTGCAAGTTCACCACTCACCAGGTAACCTTTCTCAACCAAACCCCATTTCTCTTATAATGAATGATTTCTTAGCTTCCTCCTCACAGAAATACCCACTTCTTCTTATTCAACCAACTTGAACAACACCCATTTTTCTAAGTTGCTGCTGAACCTTCATGCGTACCATTTACCATGAAGTTCTCAATTTTTTTGGAGACATGCTAATGATACCCTAACAATGCTACATTTTATATAGGTGAAAAATACAAAGATATGCAAGTACAAGGAAAATGCACCTATAAGGATTTCCAGAAATACTTTAAAATCAGCAAGTCCAAAAAAAGTGTATTATTATTGCCTTGTATCTCACTGACTAAATCTGCCACCCACTTAAAACATTAGCATCACACAAAACACCTTTGATGCACTTGAAATAAATATCTTTTCATTTTAAACAACTGAAGTAATTTTTTAAGTTTTTACAACTTTTCCCCCCAACTTTAAATAAGTTGTACTATCTTTCATAAGAAGCTACTGAAAAAAAAACACTTTTGAGAAGCCAGTCCTTAAAACTTACACAAATATCACGATCATGGTTTCTGCATCACTCATAAAAAATTCTTGCAGGACACAAGCTAAAGAATCCCAGTAAAGTAAAACTACAGTTTTTTCACAGAACATATTTAAATTCTTCCCATCACAGTAAACTGAGTCATTTTATCAACACTGCAACTGTACATTTAATTTCCTGGTCCTTTCCTTCATCACACTAACACTGAAATTTTAAGACATACTGAACATTGAAGACTACTACCAAACAAGTCTGTTATGTTGCCTGTGAAAGGCACATGCAATTCATCTCTTGATCCATATTTACAAATAGTTCTGCAAATGCTGATTGTTTCTCCCATTCAAAAGAGAAAACCGATCAGAAGATTTTATTTTCCTATCCCTGAGAAAAACACAAAGCATCATTTTGAAAAGGATGACTTGGAGAAAAGACAGCTCTCTTCAAATACCATTTTTCCCCTCCCCCCAGAAAATGGAAGTACTATAATTTTCTGTCTGTAAATTAGATTTAAATTTGGAGTGCAGCTGGAAATTTCATTTCCTAATTTAGTAATTTCTACAGTTTCCACAGATCACCAACACCTTTTAGAAAAAATAAAATTGAAGGCCTACACTTAGTCATTAATTCATTTAATTATAGGTCCTAGTCAAATCATGAATTCCCGATAAATCATAGAATCAAAACATATTAAAGCAGTTATTCAAATTAATTTCAAAAACACAGTTAAAACTACCGTTTTCACAACGCCATTTTCTGCAGCTTCCTCTTCACTTCCAGGTGGAGGTGGAGCACTTAAACAAAAACAAACAGGAAAAGATGAAACTAGGTATTTATGCATGTATTATTTCACATGTATCAGCTAATGATGAAAACAGCTTTGCTAAATCATTCCAGATGAAAAGCCAAAGCTCCAGCTGTCTTCTGCATTAATTAAAAAAAATCAATTTATTAAAAAAGAAAAATCTATATTATTTAGCTATCATACTAGCTGGATGTTTGCAGAATAGTTGAAAGTAATGACGCATTACACCTGGATCTTCTCTTGAAATCAAAGTGAAATGTTTCATAATATATGAAGGGGGAATAACAGGGTTTTTTTCCCTGCGGACTGACATTTTTCAAAGACATAATGGAAAAATATTTAAACACCCATGGGTAATGTTGCACTGAAACAGAACTCCCATATCTGCAATGTGAAATTTTCTTCTACCATACGGAATAGCTAAAATTCAAGTACTAATTAAATTATATTTTAACTGTACAGTGAAAACTGTAGAAATTTTAAAACCACCAGCCCACCAAAAATGACCAGTTCTGTCAAATCCATGCAAACAAGCTGTCTCACTGGGCCTACTTACTGCTGTTTCTTACATAGCAATTATTTTAACTTCCACAGTTCCATTAGCTATTAAGATGCTGCATTACAAATAGCACAGTAAGCAGGGAGCCATTTAGAAACAATATTCTTTCACTGAAAAGGTATTTCTGAAATGAGTGAGAAACTGCCAATTTTTATGGAATAGAATTAATCTAAACCCATATTCTGTTGGCAAAATACCCACTCACAATTTTTGCACCAAAACCCAACACAGCCCAGGTACTGCTTCAGGATTCAAGCTTGACCATTTGACTTCATCACCTGGTGAAATGACAGACTATCTACAGAACCTGAATAACACCTCACAATTTTTATATATATGAAGAATGCCAAAACTGAGTGGCCACAGACCAAAACTTTTAAGAGGTAAACTGTACCCACACTTCCAGAGTTCTAAACACAACTTGTAAGATGTGCAAGTTAGTATTTGTTGTTCTTTTGTCCAAAGCAGCCAATAGCCAAGCTAGACACTATTGACCAGAAAATGGAATACACTGTTTCCAAGGATCATTCTGGCTGCCATGCAAGTAATTTTCTTACATAGCAGTAATACTGACAAGGATGCCAGGTCAAGAACATGAGGAATCAACTGATAAGGAATAGATTCTAAATAAAGAGCAAATAACTAGAAGTCTTTGTTCTGGAAAAGAGATGGATTCAAGACAAATGCAACAGAGGTCTAAAAACTTGTTAAGTGACAGAAAACAACTCTGCTTCTTCTACTACAGAACCAATGGGAATCGAATAATTGCATCTAGTAGCTGCTTCACAATGATATCATATGGTGGAGGTCATTACTGCTTTATCATTCTGTACCTAAGTTGAGTTCAGAAAAGCAAATGAGCAAGCTTAGGAACAAGCAGTACATCGAGGGTAACTAAATCCAAGAGTTCTCACTGAAAAATGGAAGCATCTATAGAAAATAACAATGCATGCTTTCATGCATTGGTCTTCTCTTTATTTGTTTAATATATCTTGACAATCAACAATTTGCATACTTTATCAACTGTGGGACTTGCTTCATTCAGCATGAGCAACTGATTCCCATTTCCAGTCAGTCCTTGCTTCTAATCTTCACTAACTTCACTAGATTTTCAACGAGGCATCTTTGTGCTCTACTATAGCTCCTTATAACTCAAGCAGGCTTCCCCCAGATACTTCCAAAGCATTTCCAAATCTTTTTCAAATACTGTCTTACCAGGGAAAAAACCCAACTCCAAAAGCCTAAGCAGATGTGATCTGTACATCCACCTGTCTGGTAACCTTTCACTGCTTCCTCATATACTTTTTTTTGTATACTCTGCATACCCTGCAAACTCTTCAGGAGACAAGCTATCTTTTAGTTTCTAAACTATCTTGAACTAATGAAGTCCTGATCCATTACTAAGACCACAAAGAAGAATGATTACAGAAATAAGAGACCTGTTGACATTTTATGAGGGGTTACTGCTGTCCACACAGTTAAAACTCAAAATAACTTTCATACTCTAGTGACCTAATTTCACAGAAAAGCCAAGTCCAACACACTATCTTAAGGGCATTTTCAAAGACACCAGGGCATGTTCAGGCGCCACCAACTTTTAAGCAGCTGGGAAGAAGAAAGTAACGAATAAAATTTTTGTGCAGCCATGCTACAGGGCTTCCAGGTGCCAAGACACTCACCTAGATTTTTCTTCCTCTGGTTTCTCTGCTTCATTTTCATCTACCACAAGAGAAAAGAAACACACTAATTAAGAATAAAATCGCCTGAATATCAACTGTGACAGATGTCTTGCTATGCAGATTAGGCAACTCTTCAGATTACTACTGAGACATGTTCTTAACGTCTGAATTGTGAAATTACTCGAGCACACCCCCAAGCCCTCACAGCGCTCTGCATTGACAGGTCCGCCACACAGGCCAGGCTTAGTTTACAGGTTTCATCACCATTTGAACGCACAGAAAGTCCCTAAAGTTGTAAAAAAAGTTTACGTGTAAAAGGCTGGGGCTGTTTCAGTACTGCATTGCCGGGGCCCCGGGCAGGGGGCAGCGGGGGGAGGCTCGGCCACCCCGGGGGTGCGTGTGGGGCGCGGGCAGCACGCGGGGCCCCCGCGCCCAGGCCCGGCACGCCTCGGCCTGCGCGGCCCGGCCGGAGCGGCTGCGAACCGGCAGCGCCTCGGACACCGGGCAGGGCAGAGGGCCGGGAGCCGCGGCCGCCGTGGGGCTGGCCGGTACGAGGGAGTGGAGTGAGCAGCCACGGGGGTGGCGGAATGGGGGGACCCTGCGAGGCGGCCCGGCGAGGCGGCGCACGCCGCGGCCTGCGCACCCCCGCACGGCCCCCCCGCCGCGGCCGCGCCGGGGCGGCCCGCGGGGGAGGCGGGCTGGGCACGGGGGTCGGGGAAGGTCCGTACCGCCATAGAGCCACTCCTCCTCCTCGTCCCCCGCGGCCCCGTCGGCGTCCGCCGACAGCCGCTCCGCCTCGCCGGTAGACATGGCCGCCTCCCGCGGGACGCGCGGGCCCGGCCCGGGCAGCGCCCGCCACCGCCGGGCGGCCCCGCCGCGCCGCGCCGGAACTCTCCGGTCGGTTCGGGCCGCGGGCGGGCGGCGCTCGGGAGGGCGGCTGCGAACGCCCAACGCCGCCGCTCGCGGAGGAGCCGCCGCCGCCGCCGCCCGGCTCTTCCCCTCCCCCACCGCGTGAGTGACACGCACAGGAAGCGGGCCCGGCCCGGCCCCGCGGCGCCCCGGGCACGGGCTGCGGGGGGCGGCCCGGCCGGCCCGGCCCCGACTCTGCCCTCCCCGCAGAGCCGGCCCGGCCCGCGCCGGGCGCCGCCGGACTCACCTCGGTTGCGCCTTCGCCACCCTCCCGAGGCGCGGTGTGCCTGCAAGAGCCGCCTTCCCTGCCTCTCGCTGCCCTGTGCCCTCCTGCATCCCTAAACGCCCGTCCGTGCCCTCAGCAGAGATCACGGGCAGCGTGGCGACCTCCTCCTCGGGAGCATCCTTGCCTGTCTCCAAGAGCAGGACGGGGCTGAACACACGTGCCGTGCTTCTACTGGCGGCTGATGGCAGCTGCTGGGGGAGCGTAACCACGGGGTAAACACGCTCCTGCTTCTGCTGGTGCTGTCCTAGCTCTCAGCTTTCCAAGGGACTCTCCCAGCTGGACGTAGTACTTAAGCTTTAACAACTCTTTAGAGATTCTTTTTTTTTTTTCTCCTCCACAAACTTCCTGATTTTATTTTTAGTTCCAGTAAGTTTAGCATTCGTGGTGTGCTGTGAGCGTTCAAAAGTGTTTCTATGTATTTATGAAGAAATTGCTCAGTTTTAAAAGCAATGGGAAGTAGCGAGCCATTTTTCCTGATGATTTTCTCACTTTACATCTGTGAATGCTAAACAACAACTGCACGATTCATTAGAAAATATAAGTACCAATGTCTAAATATGGAACTTGTGGTATTTTAGGATGTTTGTGAAGACTCAAACAGGGACCCCGTTTTTCACAGCAGGTCAGTTTGTGAGAAGTCAGACTAGGGGCTTTGACTGTAATATAAACATATCACAACTCTCAGCTTATTTGAATTGCCTGCAGAGACAAGCTTGTTTGTAAGTTTTGTGACATTTAACTGGAGTTCAGATGAACAACCAACCATCTCAAAATTTTTTTCATCTAAGATTAAATGTTGGGGTATCATGTACAGATACAGATTATGTGGTATAATTGGGTATGTTTTCATCATGCAATTTCATTTTTATACATATAGTATTGTGAAGGCATTTTTCACCCAAGGCATTTCTAGACACTTGTTTCTCATAAGACAACTCTATATTATGGTATTTACTATTAGACATCAGTGTCTGAATTTTCATTCCTGTTTTGTTTAGTTGGTCATTTAATACACTTCTGGCTGACATTAAATGACATGGAAGAACTCTAATAATTTCATTTGATTGCAGACACAAGGAAGAAAAAACAAAACCATGTTTGTGAAAAATACCACAAAGAGAAACCAGGAGTAGGTGTAGAACATAAAATCTCTTAAAATACATTGATGCAGATCCTCAAAACAGTTTTCCTGGCAGAAACCTTCAAATTGGGATTTCTATTTCAGTAGTGATGTAAAAATCCACCTTGAATAGCTTGAGCAGCTTAAATTTTGAAATCTGACCCAAGAAGGCTAACTCCCATTAGTAGTTGCCAGCCTTCCACCGGTTCCATGAAGATCTTTACCCACCTCTGGCTCTGATTGGAGAGAGGGTGCTCAGAATTTGTTTTCTTCTTTGTTTCAAAGAAAAGAGTGCCATTAGCCTACATGGCTTTTTAACTTCTGCTCTCAAATGTAACAACTCTCACCAGTCCCAGCCTGTGAAAGGGACCTTGATGTTTCTCCTTGCTGCTTCAGAGGGAGAGCAGCAGCTGTGGCCTGTAGAAACTGCTTCTCCTAACGCCCCAAGTAGCTGAAAGGCTGAAGATAGAAGAATACATCTTTGCAAGACGCATAAACATATTAACTCACAGGTTACACTCCAGAAACCCACAAAAAATTGTCAAGTTTATGGGAACCCTTTAATACAGTTCTTTTTCTAACACAATAGTTGTAAATTTGCACATGGGATAAAATAAGCTGTAATAAATACTAAATATAATAAATAGGATAAAATAAGCTGTAATAAATACTAAATATAATAAATGTAATAAAATAAGAGTAGGTAATTTATTTAATATTTTTCAAAATGTCAAAATTATTAGATAATTTTGTTTCATAATTTAACCACTATGCTTTAAACTGATTAACCACATTTTGTCTTCTGGCTAGTAATCCTTTTTTTCAACATTGGCATATGCAAAACTAGATGCAATCAATATTGTATTTATAAAGCAAAAAGCTATTTGCTTTCCTAAAAAGGCATCTGATGTTTTGACAATATGTCTCAAAAAAACCTGTCAACCTTTACGAAGAGATTAAAAAAAAACTTTTTAAACACTTTAAAGGTAAAAAACCTTTTAAAATAGTAGGGTGAGCCATAATATAGATGGATTTTGACTATGGCACTCAACCATACAGCAAAAACTCAGAGATACATAATCTCTGACATAATTCAGTATGAGAGGAGGATAATTCTACTTCTGTATAAGCATAGGGGCCCAGTGGTTAACCATCCCTTCTTGGTATTCATTTTTCAAATCAAAATAGTGAAGAAGGCTATTAATTTACATATTTTTCTGGCAGAGAGAACAGCACAGAGAGAAGAGGGAAGAAAGCATCTGGGTCAGAATATGCATGGAGCACAGTGGAAGGAAAGGATCTGATTTAATCACTGGAAATCTGGTGATTCTGCATTACTTGTGTTTTCCAGTGTTCTGAAATCAGCTGAACCTCTGAGAGACCAAAGAAGACCAGTTGAGATGGGGAGGATTAACTAATTAAGTATTTTATCTTTTTGTTAATGCTGATAATCCTGCTGTGTCAGAAGTATCCCTCTCACTCTGTACTAAGGAGGTTGCCTAAGTGAAATCCTGTGTAGAACGCAGGTTTGGGAGCGAAGCTTCAGTTCTCTGGGGAAAGAAACTGTGGGTGCTTGTTATGGCGTTTTCGATGGTTAGCTTTGAAACTGCTTTTGAGATAAAGGGCTTTTAAAAGGAGAAAATGAACTGAAGTAGTTCGTCGCATGCCTCCATCGCAGCCAAGCCCGCTCCCGGACAGCTCCCGCCTGTCCCGCAGACCCCGCTCGGCCCGGCCCTGGGCGGGGCCGGCCCCGCCCGCATCCAACCCGCGCCCGCCGCGTCATCGCGCGGCGCCCGCGGCGCGTGGGGCACGTGCGGCGTGTTGTGGTGCGGGGGCCATGGCGGGGCCGGAGCAGCTGCGGCTGCTGAGCCGCCGCGTCTGGGAGCCCGCGCTGGCCCGGGCGCACCGCGCCGCCCTCCTGCTGGACGCTCCCGCCGCCGAGGCGCTGCACTGGGCCGGCGGGGCGGGCGAGCTGCTGGCGGCCGGCGCTCTGGCTGTGCGGGCGCTGTCCGCGGAGGCGAGAGTGGCGGCTGGCGCGGCCCGCGTCGTGTTCGTGCTGAGCGGGGCCCTGCGGGGCGGCGCGGCGGCGGCGGTGCGGGCCGTGCTCGGGCAGGGCGCCGTGCGGCACTGCGTGCTGGTGTGCGGCGGAGAGCCGGAGGGCGGCGGGCCGGCCGAACTGGAGGAGACCTTGCGGCGCTGGATGGGCGAGGGCGGCCACGCCGAGGTGGTGCTGCGGGGCACGCCGCTCCTGGCGCCCGTCTCGGCGGAGCTCTGCCTGCTGCCCGGCCTGGCCACGCTCCTCCCGCCTCTGTCCGGCCCCGGCGGCCCCGGCCCCGCGGAGGTCGGGCTGGGTGGGTTGCCCGCCGAGTTGCGGACGGCCGTGCGGGCCCTGGTGGGCGACCTGGACGATCTGTTCTCCGCCCTGGGCCTGCGGGAGGAGAACTTCGCCGTGGGGGCCCTCAGCAGGATCGTCGCCGCTGAGCTGGCAGGCTACGCCCCAGCCAGGAACAGGAGGAGGACAGCCACCAACAAGGCCTCTGTCGTCTTTGTGGACAGGACGTTGGACCTCGCTGGTAAGACATCCACTGCTGAGTGGGTACCTGTCATCTCTGCAGGCCCACACCCACCCCACCAGAAGGCTGTCAGGTTGTTTTGATGGCCTGGGAGCGTTTGACACCATGGCAACGGTGGCTGCTTGCACATCGTTGCACCCCAGTGGGTCAGGAAAACCCAGAGTGAAGCAGAAGGCTGGAAACCTGTTTGTTTCTGGCACTTCCACTTTGCTGCAAACTAGAGACCTTAACTGTGCCTGTGTGTCACCCTAAGGAATGAAGGAAATGGTCTGCACGTTTCAGATTTGGCTTTACGGACTGCTGTGAAGCATTTTCTAGTGTATCTACGTGTCACTCTTAGCATTATACCTGTCCAAGCAGATATTCATCTCTGTATACCTGTAGCTATATCTGTTTGCCTGGAAGTGTCCCTGTCTGTGTGTGTATTGGTACGGGAGTGGCTGCATTCACTATCCCATCATACCTAACTCCTGCTGACTCATGCAGTGTATGGGCCTGGTTATGTTATCTGCAGTCAGTAATTCAGGTCACAGTTTTTTGCCACCATGTGTCCCATAGCAAAAGCTTGGCACAGTGTTGAACCTGCAGCTCATCTATTTCTGAGTTTTCTTCTGTCTTTTTTTCTGTCGTAATTTTGCCTTTGTGTACCCTTGCACTGCTGTGGGGCTCATAACTGTCAGCAGTGTGCTGAAGAGCAGCTATGGATCTGGGCAGTTAGTGCTGTGCTGAGGTTTGGAAGATTGCTTGGAAGGCTGCAGAAGAGTGCACTTGGATGGGGAGCCTTGAAAGGGAACTGAGAAGAGTGCCCATTTGGGGAGGGAACCAGGCAAGGATTTATGCACTCGGTGGTGAGAAGAATTAAAAACAAGAAAAAGAACCTGATGTAGGATGACAGGGAGCTGCCTAACAAGGACACTATTGAGGAGGCATGAAGAAAGATAATTGGTACCAGCTTAAACCTGGGAAAGAAAGTGTGGAATCTAGTACTTCAGTAGGAGGAGGTTTTTGGACAATAACATCGAGGCTGTGGTGGTGCAGCTTTGAAGAGGGAACATCAAAGCTCTTGGAGTAAGGATGATAAATTAAGGATTTGGTTTTTTTTAGGACTCTGTTCTTCTCAGTACCTGTAACTGAAATCGAGATCCTTTCATGCAGCCATTCTTTTGTTACCAGCAAATGTCTCCAGAATTCACTGGCAGTTTCACTGAGATATTCCTATGCTTTGGACGTGATACTCTTGCCATCAAGTACAATACAAACTGAAGGAAGAAAAATTTAGTGCGTTTCAGATGTAAAGCACTATATGGACTTGAATTTAGTGCCAGACAATGAGATTTGTTTCATGGTTTGCTAAAAACTGTACAGTAAAAAGTATACACCACCCCCCCAGCATTTAAACTGTGAAATCAGTTTTAAAGAAGTGGGAAATGGTAGAATTAAGTTGTACCTGAGACCCTAATTTTCTTAGGGATATTCAGCTTTTATATCCTCGCTTTCCTGGCCCCCTACCTCTGACTCTGCTGCTTGGCTTTCAGGTGAATGAGTCTATTGAATTTCAGCCTTACACTTTGTAAAGGCTAAAGCTTCCTATCTGCAAGTTTCTTCTGGTGCTGCAGTTGCAAATCTACTGAACTAAGGGAAAATATGCCTACTTAAATATTAAGAACTTTCTGTTTTAAAGAACATACTAAAAAAGTATTAAGTACATTTTGGTAAAGAACCTCTGGTGCCAGTGTTAAGAAGCTATGTTGTGACAATTATTAAAAAAAATTAGTTACATATAAAATGGCACATTATTCTATCAAAAAAAATGGGAAGGCATCTGACTGACTAGGTTAGCTCTCTATGTTCCGTGAAGCAAAGAGTCTCTTCTGAGTGGAGACTCTAAAATTTGGATTGAGCTCTCTTGAATACTTTTTATAATATATTTTTTTATGTTCAGCATTGCTTATGTATGCTGTTTTTACTGAGTAAAGAGGAAAATACTGAATTAAGATAATTAATTCTCCTTTTTGTCCTGTGTGGTATAACATTCAGCTGAGCTCTAACAGGGAATTTATTTTTATGGCCTTTGCTGCCCTCACTGAAAGGACATGGCTTCAACTGGGGAAGGCAGGGATACTGCCCATCCCTGCAGTATAGAATCTTCTGGGTAAAACAGTTCCCCAGAAGATGGGACGTGTTTTTATGCCCTGGGGAGATTGCATGTTTAGTACTTTACGCTCACTTCTTGAATTCTGATTGTATAATATTTTGTTACTGGTGTCCCTGATCTGTATACATGTGTAGTGCTGCTTTTGTTTGCCTGCTTATTATTTTAAAGTCCACCACCTTTTCTTTAAAAAGCAGAATAAGTCCATCCAGCTAGAATGGCACCCTTATAAGTGACACTGATTAAAGTCGGAGCTAACTTTGGCACTTTAATTCTTCTGGGCTTTTTTTATCTCTTTAATATTTGCACCCCTAAATATTGGCATTATGGTACCATATTGTAGCTCCATACTCATTCCACGTGTTTCTTAGTTACCACCTTGCCAGCATTCACACCTCTTGTGAAGTAGTTTTTGCAGTATTCCAGGTTTCTGTTTTCATTTGTTAAACTCATTGATATCTTTCAGATATTGATGTTCAGAACAGCTTGACACATTTCTCTTTCCAGTCTCTTTGAGGTTTGCAGCGTTTGGGATCTGTCCTGTTTAAATGCAGAGTCTCACCCACTGGTATATGCAGGTGATTCTGAAATCCAATACAGTGAGCAAAAGACAGAGAATAATGAATCACAGGGGATGGCCATGCAGTTACTATATAGTTTTGAATAATGACTTCTGTATAGGTGTTCTTGAAGTTGGATATTTCAGTGCTGTCAGCAGCAGCACTTTCATTATCTTTAGCTCTTCTGCATGTGTCTGTCAAAATCGCAGGGATGTTTCCCCCCAGCTAGCTTGTGTTTAATTTTCTGTATCATCTCCCTCACTGTCAGCCAGGCATCATCTTTGCGTCACTCCCCTGCACTGGTTGTAATGTTGTCAGTGTTTTAACAGATACAAAAAGTTCAGGCTCATGAACGTAGTGCAGGTTCCTTTCAGTTCCTTTCAGTTCCTGGGAGCAGCCACAGTGATGAGAAGGTGCCTTCATTGTGCTACTGCATAATCCCATTCATAGAGGGAATGACAGTGAAATCTAACATGCTTTTCTGGTAAACTCTGGTTCTGACTAATCTCTCTCTTTGATTATTTTTGTTCTAAATTGTTTGGTTTTAATTGTCTATTTCTTTCATTATATTTATCATGTTTCTAGTTTGGAATGCTTTACTCATGCTCTTTTTGTTTGCAGCGTCTTCTGGGTTAATGCATTGGTGGATTGACACTAAAGTCTTTCTGGAGGAAACAAACCCATGTCTTTTATCTTCTTTACCATCCAGGCTGATGCTTTGGAAACATAGATACTGAGGCCTCTGTAGTATGGTAGTCCCCTTTTTTTAAACCAAACTGGGGCTTTGACACAGAAGGCAACTGATGCTTAAATTATTACAGTTACTTGAGGTTAAGACTGCAGGTATGAGGAGTGATGGCAGCTGAAAGTAGCATGGACACTCAGTAGTGCAGGCCCGAGTGCAGCCTTTGCTGTGGTGTGGTTATTAAAGATTTGGCTGTAGAATAGGAACATAAATTTTTATATCAGGTTTCTAAATGCTTTGGATGTTCTACTTGTTATAGAGACTTTACAGAGATAAGCAAATAAATGGAATGAATTTTCCCTGGTTAAAGAAAACTGCAGGTGACTAGGTCAGTGCAGGATACCTAGAAATTACACAAACCTTGAACATACGCTTAAGAGTTTCTTATGTCCAAATTTGCTGCTCTTTACGTGTTGCAATAGCTGTCTGTGAGGGATGGGGAATCTGTCATATTTTTATGGCAGTACTCTGCTGCTGTGCTTGGTTGCAGACTTCTGTGCTCCTACTGCTGGACTGTAAATTGTATTTTTGGAGGAGGGAGGAGTTTGGTTTCTTTTTTATTGGTTATTGTAAGATTCAGTAGTCAGCACAGTGGGACAGGTAATGACTACTTTTATGTTCTTTCATGTGTACGAAGGAGAATGTAGATCTGTCTTTTGGCAAGGTAGAAGGGTGCTCTAGTTTGCCATTAATGCTGCACAATGGTTCCTGGGAACATACAGACTGCTTTCCAGCACTGGTTAACACTGGATTAAAGGATATGTCAAAACATTGATAAAGAACTGGAGCCCCAAATATCTATCTTCTTTCAAGGGAATAGATGTAAACATTTCTGCCTTCTGATATTTTAAACTATTCTCACAGAGGTGATGTGTTGCTTAACGAAGTTGCATCAGAGGAATTGTCCCACTAGAATTCTTTATTGTAAAGTCTTCCTAGTGATGATCTTATTCAGAAAAGCATTGGGTGAGTGTGCAGTGTTTAAACATCGTGAAAACTGGGATGAGTTGGTCCGTGTGTCTTTCCGTAGTCACCCATCCTGAACTAATCTATAAAGCAGGTAAAACAGCAGATGTTAAAAAAACTTGATAGTGAGGCCAAGATATGCCTTCCATACTGTGACAGTGCACACTGACTTGTATTGAAACTTTCTTTTAGGGAGAAGCCCCCAGTAGAAATTAGCTGCCTTAGTTGTTGGCTAGTGAGCAATGCTTTTGTAGCAGAACTGCTTTCTAAATCAAACTCCTAATGTTTAGCAACTGACTTTAGAATCTTCCCATTGCCCAAGCTCTTATGTTGCTTATGTGGTATGCAGTTGTTCCTTAAATGTGTTATTTTTTTGTTTTGGTTTCATTTTGAACCAGACAGTAAAGCTAGTATGAGAACATAAGAATTAGAGCACAAGTGATATGACATAGGGCTCATAATGAGCTTAGGAAAGTATTTTCTAGTATTCCTGTCATTGATGCCTTTCTGGGGGGAAGCAGGGGGTACAGTTAATGAGTTCCTGGCTTCTGTTAAAGAATTGGTTGGTCGACTTTGCTAATTGTGCCAGCTACAACTTATCTGAAATGTCACGTCTTTCAGTTTGTAACTCTTAATGAGAAGAAAAAGTGAAACTAAAACACCATGATACATAAGATCTCCTATATCCTGAAGGCTGATGTTGCCTGGCACGAAGACTCCTTTTTTTTTGCAGTGGTCAGATAACTTCTCCTTGTCACTTTAATGCCTGATCTGTTTGCACATTGTCAGCATTGAAAACCATCACTTGCCTTGAATGCTGTTGGTCATGAGAAGCTGCTGAGTGGCTGTGCTCTGAAGTGATGAGCAGAGAGGACAGAAACCAGTACCATGCGTCCTGCTGAAGTCACAGTGCATTTGGAAAGTGATTTCCTGTCCTAGTCTTTTGAGGTTTGACTGTCTTCTCAGTCTTGATTAATTTGTGTAGTTGATCAGGGCTGACAGTGGGTTTTTAAAACCACCAGGAGATGTTCTATGATTTATTTGAGGATTAAAAATTTATTTTACTATCAAGGAATATCAGTTGTGGGAAAGAGACTGAGATGGCATTGACAGTTCATGAATCAACTTGAGTACGCTGAGAATTCCCCATATGCCAGGAAGAAAGGAGGAATGATAATAATTAATGTGGTTTTATTTGCATTCAAGGTGTTTCTAGTTTAGCCAAATGTCTTGTCTAGCTACATGTTGCTTGCATGCAGCGGGTATGAAGAGAGAGACATTGCTTCCAGGATGTGGGGGTGGAGGTTCAGAAGGTTACTGTTTGTTTTCCCTGTGTAACTTGGCAAGTGTTGCAGTGTGAGGTACAAATGAGTGACTTGGTAAGAAGAATGTTGGGAATTTAGAGAGCAAGATGGCTTAGGAAGTCACAAAGACAACCCAGCTCATTTCATCTGTACTTAAGTGGTCTAAATCTGGCTGGGGATGGTAGAAAAGAAAGTTGTCATTCTGTGACTATTCACTGAGTGGTGAAATAAATAGGTAATCCGGCTGAGCGGTCAAGTGTCCACACTGCAGTACCACCACATGCTGAACACGTGTGCCTTTCTTGCCTTCTGTGGATGAAGGCATTGCCAGCACAGAGTTTGACTTTAGATTTCTCCTCCTCTTTCATCCTTGCTTCTATTTTCAACTTCTGCAATTCACAGTAGTGGATAAACCATGAAAAACCATGGTTAACAGCATGGATACCTGGTTGCTGTAGAATTGCTGGAGACAGTCTTCGGCTTATTCAAGAGTAGTTAATAACCTAACATTACAAATGTTTTTGATGTAAGGGCCTTGTTTGAATTTATGGAGCATGTGAAGCTACTTCAGCTGTTGAAACAGACCTCCTCTGTCTTTGGAAACTATGAAAAGGTAAGAGCAGATAGGGTGCCGTGCAGATGGACTTTGATGGAGTGGGACTGTAGCCTGAGAGATCTTTTTCCTGCCGCTCAGGGGTGCTTCAAAAGTTCCAATTTTTCTGTTTAAAGCCAGAACAATACTAAGGTCAGAACTGCTGTCCAGCCCTGTGTTGGTGGCTGAACTGTAGTTTAAGTGGCAGAAAGACCTTCAACTTCTCTCTGACCTAAAGACAATAAGGTTTCTAGTCCCCCCCTCTTGACTTTTTTATCTGTAGTGTGTGTCATGTTTTTCTGCTTTGACTTGGCTCACAGTCATCCTGATATTTTAGAAGTTGGCTGTAGCACCTGTGTTGAGAGTTCGTGAACGGAAAAAAAAGCGTGTATGTTTGAAATCAGGAAAATTGGAGAAAACATTCCAGCTGGAATTCAGAGTTTCTCTTGGAACACAGTCAGATTGACAATGTATACTCTGTAACTTGGGTTGGTTTAGTTATTTCATATTTGTTTCACCTGAGCTGCCCTCAGTCCATATAGAAGGGATGATCTTGGTGGTGACATGCCATTGGTAACTGTTTATTTTAATATCAGGCCAACCTGTCTGGGTAGCAATTTATGCAAACTGCAAATGTTTCTTTTAAGCACAGTACTTTAGTTTAGGTAGAAAAGTATAGTGTGCATGTAGTCTGTACGTATAAATGTTTGACTGTGTCGTGGTTTTGCTTTGGGTCAATTTTGCTTTTCACTCCTCACACAATTAATACTAGTTGAGAGAAGGTATTTGCAGACAAAAGAGAGACAGGACTTGGGGAAAATAGTATAAACATTTATTACTAGTAAAATAACAACTACTAATAAATTAAAAACTAAAGAATTATATCTATAACAATTTCTATTTAAGTTGAAGTGCTATATATATACAGAAATACTTCTTCCCTTTTTATACTAGTCCAAGGAGAAGAAGTAGTCTCATTCTGTATTTTCAGAGTTTTAGTTCTCTTTCTTTCTAGTAACAAATCCTCAGCAGCAGCACTTTCATTACAGTTGGAACTTCTTTTCTCTCCTTCTTGTTCTGTGTTGGTTTCTGGGGCTGGGCTTACCCCCTTCCTGGGCTAAAACTGAAGGATGGAGATTACTCAGGTTCTGAAGTGTTTTAGTAACTATTGCAAATATTATTTAACAATTTCCTTAGGCAAAGAAAAATGTTTTTCATGTCTAAGTGCAAAATCAGTGAACATGTAACAGTTGTAAAACAAAGTCTAATGTGTGCTTTTTAATTTAATCCTTCTGAAATGTTAAAAGGGCTCTTAACTTCACACATTCCAGAAATGAATTTTACTTTTATAGCAAAATACCTTTGAAAAGGTAAACGTGGTTCTTGATGTTATGAGTACCAGTGTCCTTCTCCCCAAAACGTGGTTATTTTTTTGTTTTCAATGCCTTGTGTTTGTTTTTCGTTTGTTTGTTTGTTTTTTTCCTATTTATGCACCTGATAGTTTTTGGTTGGTTTGTTTTTGTTTTCTTCTTTTTCCATAGGAGCAGTTGGTCATCATGGTGACAATCTTGCAGAGAAGATACTTTCTGTGCTTCCCAAGCTTCCTGGCCACAAGACTGATGTGAAGGTTAACATGGTGGAACTTACAGCATTGCAGACTACAGATGAAACCTGCAGTATTATAGCACCTGGCTGCTTAGCACAACCAAAGTAAACATTCTTTTCTTCTTTCTTTTTTTTAAATGTTGAATGTGTTTCTTGTCTCTCTTTGAAAAAATGGACAAGAGAACAATTCTTAAAAAAATCAATCAACCAACCAACCAACTGACCAACAAAAGCCAAACCCAAACCAAAAGAATCAGTCAGGCTTACAGCAAAACACCAACTGGTCATAATTCTGCTGTAATGTAGTCATCTATATGTGTACATTAAGTGACCAGGCCAGATAAGACTTCCAAAAGTGGGAGAATCTCAAGACCTTTTAGATTTGAGTTGTTTAAATTTGTTTAGATTACTGTAGTAACAATCAGTACAGAGTAAACACCAAGAATTTCCCTTGTGAGATTTCTTTTTCTACCTAAGTAAGAGATGATGCAAAAAGGTAGGTCTTAATTGTGACTTCCTTTTCCCATAGGCCTCTTTGTGATTATAAAGTGAACTGCATGCTAAAGTTTTGTTAGACTACCAGTACTTTAAGGTTTTACTCCTGTTTTCAAGCACAGTACCTGTGGAGAAGGATATTAAGGCACAAATTTAGGTATACAAACAGCTTCATGAGGGCCTGATTTTTGCTTAAACAAGAACAATCCAAAACCAGTAACTTCGAACAATTGTATTTAGCTATGTCAAATTTGTAGCTAAGACTTTACATGCAAAATGCATCAGATTTTATGTTTCACTTTCTAAATTTAGTTGTCCACTTAAACTTTCCTGCAGCTTCTGTTATTATGCATAAATAGGAAAATACACCAGGTTCTGGTTTTACTCCACAAAAAAAAATTTTGCTCAGTAGTGCTCTAGAAATTAATGCAGTGCAAAGGAGATTAAAAGTTCTTTCTCTTTTGCTGTAAAGTTCTCCTCATATATTAGAAAATGGTTTTTCAAGACGGGCTATCTAATATAGTTTCTATTTTTCAGATTTGACTCCTTTTGGTGTTTCAGACCTACACTCAACTCCTCCTCTTCCCTCTCTCCTTCTCCCCACCCCCCACTCTGCAAAGATTTCAGAGTTCCACCGTTCCAGCATTACACACATTATTTTCTGAGAGCTTCCTGATCCTTTGACACCTTCCATCTCCCACACATGCTGTAACTGGGTCCAGTTTCTAGGTTTCATATTGTGTAACTCACTTCTTCTGCAGGAGTTGAAGGGGAAACATTACCTCATGGAAAGGGACTCAGTTGTAAGTTGCTGCTGCAGTGACTAATTTAAATAAAATTTATTCTGGTTTTCTTCTCACTCTCTGCTTTCCAGCCAATCCTTGAAGTAGAAGTGAGGTGTCCTTAAGATCTCTCTATGCAGCAAAATGAGGAGGTCATTGTCTGTGGTAGTACACTGTGGTAGCTGTTTGTGCTAACTTTGAGTAGCTACCAGAAATAAAGAAGATTCTGACAGCGTGAACTAGGGAAAAAATAGATATTTATTGCTGATTTATGGCTGTAAATGATGTGTGGCACGGAGTGTTCCTCTGCTTGTAAATTTTCTGTTTACTCTAATTAGTGAAAGTGCCAGAACCTTTCCCAAGAACAGGAGCAGTGACTTTGGTTGCACCCAAGTGGAATGTGTGGGGCTCTTCTACATGAAATTTTGTGATCAGACCGTGGTGTTTCAGACTCACATATTCAGAATATTTTTATAATGTTTTCATTGTTTTCTCTCAAGTAATATTTGAGCATGCTTTGGTGACGGGGGAGAGAGAGAGAGTCTGGTCCTTCCACACAGCTTACTATATTTAACTTTTCTTGTGGAATGCCACTCCAGCAGAAACATCTGGGCTCAGTTACAGAGTTAGCAAACAGAATTAATGAATAATTTATGATTGGTGTGGTGAAATAAAGCAGGATTCTTTTCTAAAATCTAAGGAAATAATGGGCTTCTTTAAAGATTTAGTTGAAAATGTAAATGCTATATTCTACTTGAGTTACTGTACTTTGAAGGTGTTCTCTTTTTGAGGAAGGGAATTTCTTAAAAGAAAAAAACATTCTAGAGTTCTAGATTTTATTAGTCTTATTAGCCTCAAAAATCTCACAGAGTAATTGTTTGCCCTGCTGTAGTCACTGACATGTTGCTCTTCCAGTATGAATGTTAGTAGAGTTACACTTTTTAAGAATTGTGTCAAAATGCTTAATTCATTTTTATATACAGATGGATGTATATAACAGAAAAGAAACACGACATAGACATTTAATCTAAAGACATCCACTCTTGATCAGAACTGTTGGTTTCTGCTTTAAAAAAGCAGTAACCATCCTGTCCTTTCAAACAAATGATACATAATAGAAGTGAAATCTTAGTGGTAGAGGTGATTTAAAATTAATTACAGTTCTCTTGCTGGTCTTTGTATTTTTGTAACCCACACAGAATTTTTGGAGAGATTCTTCCAAATTTCAGCTCCTGATTTTAAGCATACACGCAATGCCTTCTAGGAGTTGTCTGCTTGGATGAATGTCAAGCTCTGTGTATTTGTGAGCAATCCATCCTGTACACTGGATAACATTTTGGTCACATTTGTTTGTCAAAGCACCTATCTTGTGTTTTTCAGATTATTTTTTTAGCGTGTGGAAGCATCCTGCTGTCAGTAATGAGTTTATCTCGATGGAAGTTTATCATTTTAACCTCTTACAAGCTGGTAACTGGGGTGCATGGAGGCCCCATGGCTCTCTAAAGCCCCAGATTAGGGTTCAGATGCTTGAATCCTGGCCACAGGTCTGTGGTGTACAGGAACAAGAAGTAAAGAGTTAAATGACACCACGGGCAATTGAAGGAATCTCTGTGTTTTCTCTTTTTTTAATCTGCTCTTCTACTACCCAGGAACACTTTTGATGTGCTCTGCTGTTTTGCTGAATAAACTGAATATTTAATTCCCTTATGCACATTTCAAGAACTTGCTGAATAGAGATTTCTTGCCTGTTTTTCCACTCTTGCAGGAAGCATTGATATACAGACCAAGTGTTTGAGACACAGCACCCACAAAAATCTTTCCTTAGATCTTTGTGTGAGGGGTGGAAAAGTAGGCATTCTGGGGGGAGTTGATTAAAAATTAGGATGTTCTTGAAGATGGAATGGTAAAATTTCAGTGTCTCATGTTAATGGCAGTTGAAAATACATGCTTCTCCCAGTCTTCCTTAGTTCTGAGGTTGCTATTCATGTTTTGGACCAGTTAGTACTTTTAACAAATGCTACAGTCTGGAGGGAGAAGGAAGCCCCACTCCAGCTGCACCTTTGCGTTTGGGCGTGGTGTGATGATGCAGTGCTTTTCTGTGCAGGTGGGACTTGGACAACCTGGAGTGTAAAGGAAGGCCATGAGGTGAGGGAACTTGTATTCCAGTCCTGGTTCTGCTGTCAGCTTGCAGTGTGATCTTGGACAGGTCACTTCATTTCTTTCTGTGTCTGATTCCTTGTGTAGTCCTTGTCTGAGGAACTTGTTTTTTAAACCAGTAAAACAGGGAGTTTCTCAGGAAGTTTGAAGACTGCAAGGCAGAAAAATCCTAGGGTTCTGATCCTTGGGAGGGTACCAGTAACAACACAAATGAATACAAGGAGAGCTAGGGTGTCAGAACAATCAAAGGCAGGATCTCCATTTGTCCGCCCTTTGGTACTGTGTCCCTCCCATTCCTATGAGGAGTGCTTTGTGGCACTGGGAAGGGGAGACAGTTTTAAGTTGTATCTCCCTGGCCTTCTTTCCTGTGAAATGATGGAGGAGCAGTTCCAGTGCTCGCTGTTACACACACTGCAGTATTCTTGGAACAATCAAATCAAAACAAGCATCAAGAATTAGAACTGTAAGGAAAATAAAGTCCCCCTTAAAGCTGGGACATAGACTTCTTTTGAATTGTTGATTCTATTCTCTTGGAGTTTTTTTGTTTGGTTGTGTTTTTAACCAGGCAACAAGCATCTGAAGGATATCAGTGATTTTTTTTTTTTTTTTAACAGTGAATTAATTACAAGCTAAGCTTTGTAAGGATGCTTCTTGGATCTCTTTTGTATTTCCAATTTTTTTTTAAAGTATTTCCTTTATGTTGGCTGTAGATATTAATTAGAAAAAAACCCACAACTTTTTTTTGCATGCATGAGTTTATAAAAGCTTGTTATAAGAAGGTAATTTGAGACAGTGTTATTCTTGAATGAGCTGAAAATTTATGGCAGAAATTTGAGTAACTTTTCTTTCTGGAATGTTAATATTAAAGAGGAAATATTAATACCACAGTATGAAAATCCAGATGTCACGACTGTATTCCTTTACATCCACTGTGAGTCTTGCAGAGGAGGAAGGATAACGTAAAACAGCGCGTGGCAAGGCTCTTTCAGACGGGTAGAGCAACGGCTGTGTGCTGAAAACCGCTCTTGGATCTGTCCGGTACATTGTCGGTGGTTCAGCAGCAGCGGGATGCTGCCTGCCCGGGGCTCCCTGCCTGTCGCTGCTTCTGGGCTGCTCCTCCATCTTTTCCGCTGCTGGACACTTCCCCCTGCTGGGAGCTGCGCGCTCCTGCTCTCCCAGGACCCGGCCTCCTGCCTCTGCTGTGGTCCTCTGGTGAACTCGGCTTTAAATCTAAACTCAACCCCCCAAGACAAAAAAAACCCCAACTAACCAAAAAAGTCACTACCCATGCAGCTTTTTCCTATCTGCCTTTCTGTACAAGGGGAGCAGCACTTTTGTAGAGAAAAGGAGGCCTTAACTGCAGAATTTATGAAAAGCAGACATGACGTTGCATTAAATAAAACTCTGAAACTTTCTTTCACCAATGACGAGTGAAATTGCAGCCCAGTCCTGTGCTTCTAGGACAGGGAAATTCTAGGACATAAGGAAATTCAGTTGTGCTACTAAGGTCCATTTACAGGGAGATAAATTGCTTTAGGGGGTTTTTATATTGGTACCTTTTCCTTTTCAGCAATCCAGCCAGGAGATGCTTCATTAAGTTGTAAATGCCCCAAGTAGGAATGCCCCAAACACAGTATTCCCCACTGCCATCGTGATCCTGGACTGGCAACC